GCCGCGTGTACAGGCAGGCGGGCAGGCCGGTCGCCAGGCTGCTGCGCTGGGTCGCTGCGCCGCGCCGCTCAGGGCCGCACAGGGAGCTCACGCGTCCCCGGGGCTCAGCGGGCGCGCTGTCGGGGCCCGCGGGCGTCGACGCGCTAACGAAACGGTAGTCGTAGGCGAGCGGTTCGGGGGCTGCGGGGCCCGAGTCTGGCGCGGGCGGCGGGGCGGCCGCAGGGTCTCCGATCGCCGGCAGTTCGCGCACGTACTGTGCGGGAAGGTAGAAGGGGCGGCCGCCGGGCTCGCGCCGGACGTGCCACCAGTGCTCCGTGCTGCGGCGCAGCAGCCGGTAGCGCTCATTGGGCTGGATGGCGACGCGGCGCCCGTCCTTGCCCGTGTACTCGAAGGGATGCTCCACCAGCACGTACACGTCCCCCTCGACGTCCGCCGCCATCGCGGCCGCCGCGTTTCCCTGTGGGTAACAGGAGGAGGGACGGAGGTCAGAGCAGCGGGGCCGGGAAGCGCACCGCACTAGGGGGACGGAAGACCTGGGTTCGAGTCTCGGTGCTGCACTCGTCCTGTGCGTTCGGGTCTCAGTTTTCCTGTCTCTAAAACGGGGGACTTGGAGAAAATAATCTCGAAGGTTCCCATTCCTACACACAGTGATGGAATTATGACAACCTTTTCATTCTGTGGCTTTCATTATAAGATTTGAGCCTCGCTGATTGTGGGTAATACTGGTCCAACTGTACAGCCAGAGAAGCCTTGGCTCAAAGATAAGGGGTGATTGCCCGCGATAAAGTCGACACCCCACATTACCTAAATGGGGCCTCAGTTTCCCCGTCTGTGAAGTGGGAAGAAACAGCCCATTCCCTCCCTCCTCCCCCCAACCCCACTCCCTGACGCCTCCAGCCCTCAGGGAATCGGCGTCCACAGCGCCTCTTCCCTCTGGGCATCTGCGCCCCGGGCCCGCTGGGTCAGGGTGGGGCTCCGCGTCGCTCTACCCGGGGAGTGTTCCTGCGCCGGTTAGTCCAAGGGCCTTGGCGTAAGGGGCCGTGACTGCCAAGGCCGGGGAACCGGTTCTCTCGGTTTCTCTTTCCTTCCCCAGCGGCTTCACCACAGATATGAACCCGGAGCCCTGCCCGCCCAGACCGGCCCGCACCGCCCCCTGCTCTCCAGCTCCCACCCCCACCTCCCGAGAGAGGCTCGGCCCTCGCGGCCTGCCCACCTGCTCTGTGATCTCTACATTGCCCCAGGAGAGTGGCCCCTAGAGAATGCGCTTTGTGACAGTGACTACCCGTTTTGTGTCCTCAGGGGCCCCCAAAGCTCTCCTTGAGTGATTACCACCCCTCACCCCCTCCATGCCGGCTCAGCCTGGCTCCTGGAGTGTCGGGAGGACGTCAGAGCTTAACCAAATCTGCCTGTGTCCCTCCAGCAAAGGGATGAGTCGGTGGCCTCCTCTGGAAATGGCTGGTCCCTCCACACCCCCTGCCCCACAACGGTGGCCCGGGGCCAGTAGCTGGGAGCTCGGCCGCTTGCTGAGACTGAGGGACCCAAGGCACAGCATTCAGCCGCGGGGCGCACAGCGCTCCTTCTCTCCTTTCTCAAGCCTTCCTCGACGGGGGAAGCCGTGTAAACTGAGTCACTGAGCACCCTGGGCACTGGAGGCGGGGTCAGTGAGCTGCCCAGAGCTAAGCCAACAAACACCAGGGAGGACACGCCTTCTCGCCACCTTCCTCTGGACCCCCGCGGCTCACTCACGTTGGCAGGGCGGGCGTCGGGGAGCCCATGGGCTGGATGGGCGGAGCCGGTGGATGGATGTAGGTTAGGCCCCCGCCATCTCTTCGGGCGGGGCTTCCACGGGCTGGGCTGGAGAGACCTCGGGGAGCAGGAGCTGGCAAGGGGAGCAAAGAGGGAGAGGGACGCTCAGGAGGGCTGCCCCAAACCCCCAAAGCAGTTGTGTGTGGGAGGGGTGAGGAGGAGCCTGAATGAGTCGGTCTGGGCCGATGGGGACACTGGGGACGGGACCTGGAGCCGGAGAAGGCATGAGGGAGGGGCAGGGGCCCGGACGGCTGCGACTGAAGGGGCGCTGGCGGGTCTCGAGCGCGGTCCAGGGAGGGTAGGGTCCCGTCCCCCCCACCTCCCACCCCCCACGCGGGATTTGTTGTCCGCGAGCCTCTGCTGTCCGGACGCGCTGCTCTGGGACTGCTCGACCCGGGCGCGTTGTCTCGCCCGGGCGTTCCCAATTCTGGCGAGGCCATTTGCACCCTGAATCACCAACTACCAGCCCTTTCCAGCCGGATTGCAGGCACTACGCTCTCCGGTCCCACCTCCGCCTCCCCAGGCCCTTTTCCGGGCGTAGCTCGGGAGGGCCTGGAAAAACTCAGAGCGGGGTTCCCACGGTAGGGACGCCCGCTGGAGTGCAGGGTCTCGGGCTGGGTGGGGAGGGGACCCGGGCCTTGGCTCCTTCCGCGATCCCGGGGGCGCGAAGAGAAGGGGAGGGATGCGGGGAGCGGAGAGGATCCCTGGAGCGCGGGGACGGGCCGGTCGCCAGGAGGTGCCCTGCGTCCACTGCCCGGGTGACGCGAGCCACAGCGGCTCCAACACTTGGGTCGGCGCTGGGGGCCCGGGCCCCTCATGTCCCCGGACGGAGGGCAGCCCTTCGCCTCCCCTCTCCTCCCGGGGCGGGGGGATCCGTCCCGCGCGGCCCTCCTCCCAGGCCCGCACAGCTCCCGCCCCAGCGCGGTGCGAAGGGGAGCAGGCGCGCAGTGCTCCCGGGTGACGAGGACCCGCCACCTGCGCTACCCCACGCCCAGCTCAGCACCCTCCTCCCGGTCCGGCCTGGCCCCGGCACCTCTGGGTGTCCGCTCGCTGGCCTCGCCTTCACTTGTCCCGACAGGCGCGCGTGGGCTCGGCGTCCGGCGCTCCCTCCTCCACCGCCCAGCTCCCGCGCTGCCCTGTTTCCTGTTCAACAATATAGCGAGGGAGGCACCAGCGGAGAGCGCCCGGCAGAACTTCCTCCCGGGCTGGGGCTGGGCTGCGGCTGCGAGAGACAATCCCCGGTGTCCTGGCTTCCTGTCCCCTCTGGGCCGGGCCAGCGCCCAAAGAGCAGCGACGCCACCCCCTCCCCCTGCACCTCCCGGGATCCTGGGCCGCACCTGACTGTCTCCCGGGGAGGTGGAGGCAGCAGGGCCAGGACGGTGGGATGAGGGGGGAGGGCGCCTCCTCACCAACTTCTGGCCAGATTTCCCTCCCACTGCTTGATTCTGTCGCCCCCTCCCCACCCTTGATCCTCGTCGTGGGGAGCGTCCGTAGGGTGAGCTCAGAACCACCTCCTGGGGCTGGACTCAAGATCCTTGCCTTGTCTGTGCCTCTGTTTTTTTCCCTGTAAACTGGGTACAGTAACACCTACTTCATATGCGTGTTGGGAAGATTAAATGAGATGCACTAAGCACAATATATTATTATTATCACATTATTATTATAAGAACACATTGTATTAGTTATCTCTACGTTTATTATGCAAAATATCCCTATTATCATAATAATTATTATAATTTTATTACTATCCCTACTTTTATTATGAGATGACCCATCCTCCTCTTTGGGGTTGGATTGGGAAACCCCAATCCCCATCCTCCTTTAGGCAGCAGGTGGAGGAGGAAACAAGCATCCTCAGACAGCTCCTGAGGATGAAGGCCTGGAGCCCAGAGGCAGGGCAGCTCCTGGGTCACTGGCCCTGGCCCTCCGGGGGCCTACCTCTCCCCAGCCCTCAAGCCGGGTTCCTCTGACTTCTTGGAGCCCACCACCTACTGCCCCTGGAGGGAGGCAAGGCCCTTGAGGGAAACTGGGCTTATGGGCCAGGCAGAGGGTGCTCCCTCATGGGCTGAAAGGCATCTTCAAGGACAGGAAACTGCAGACCTGAATGTCTTGCACTCCTGTTTTCCTGGGAATTGTGTTTCCTCCTTCTGTCATTACATGGACAGGGGTCGCCTTCCCCTTGAGAGGAAGGTCAGCTGCCAAGGCAAGGCCGTTTTGAGCCCTGAATTGGGCCCTTCTCAAACAGCCTGTCCCTGCTGAGCCCCTTCCCTTGCCTTGGATAACCCAGTGGGAAATACAGTCCTGAGGTCTCATGTGTTCCAGTGTCAGGGGTCAGTGCTTCAGCATTTAAGGCACAGGAAAGAAGCCACCGTGGTGGAATTTCAGGCATTGGCTTCAGTTGTTACGTATGTGTATGTGAGTAAACCTCCCCAAAGGCCCTGAAATCCTATCCCACCGGTGGTGAGGGTGGGGGTGTGTGTGCTCTGACTCCTAGGAGCGCAGCAGTGGGGTACAGACTGAACACTGTTCCCTCCCCTCTCTTCCATGCCCACTCCTGGCACACAGGCTCCCCCCCGCCCCCGCCTTCCCCTGTGCCTAGGAACTGACTAACGAGAGAGTGGTGGCCCTCTTGGATGGTAATGGATGGCCCATGGTCCCCTAGTCAGCAGCAGCATTAGGATTCAGAAGCGAGACCAGAGATTAGAAAGATCAGGTCTTTACTGCAAAATCATTCACAAATCCCACAGCCGCAGTTCCTTCAATACACTGCAAAGCACTTCTCAGGGCCAGGCCCCCATTAGAGTTTATTGCATAAAATGACATTTTAAAAATAGTGTGGGCACTACTGAGGTTCTCATCAGCTTTCCATCGGAGGTGAGGGGGTACAAATCAACTCATGTGAAAGCATTAGCAGCTTTTTGGTATGGGGAGAGGGTCAACCCTAATGCTACCAATCCCCGGGGGTGGGGGACAGGCTGAGGGGGCAGGCCCCACTCAACTAAGTGAGCTCCTCCCAAGCCTTGCTCCTGCTGCCTCCAAGGGCACCTTCTGGAATACTGAGTATACTCACAGGCCCGAGGAAACAGGGCTGGGCTCAGGCAGCACTGCCCACCCCAGGCCAGGCTCCTACCCACTCACAGGTGTAGGGCAATTACGGCTCTGAGCAGGCTGTGTTTGTGGTGAAGCATTAATGCTGGCTATGGGGCGGGTGGGATAGGGAGCAGGATCCACTTTCCGGTTTAGGCTTTGGTGTGCTGGGCACAGGTGTGCACCACCTTCTATGATGAGGACAGAGAAGCTGTGTGGCCACCCCCTCACCCTCCTCTGTCTGCCTACCACCTCCTCTGTTCTACTGCACAATTTATCCAGCTCCACAGGGCTGGGCAAGTGACTCAGCCACCAGATCACTCAGAGAGGAGGAGGAGGTTTGCCTCTTGACAGGGACTGGCAGTCTCCACCTGGGGCCCCAATTTCAAGCTGAGAGCAGACAGGATGGCCAGAGGACCCCAGCCAGGGCTGAGGGGGGCCTGCTGGGTCCAGGAGAGGTGGGGAAAGGCAGCAGAGAAATCATGCCCAGATTCCCCCCAAACCCCAAGGGTCTATCACTTTGAAAACAATCCCAGGCTCCCACCCCATCCCAAGACCCCTTGGGCAATCATGCTCCAGTGGAATTTTCCAGTCTCTGGCGGCACCCCACTTGGGCCAGTCCAGCAAAGCTTCGTGAATTCATGGCTTTGTAAACTGAGGCTAAGCATCCTTCCATAAGGATGGCTCCTCTCACACGTCCCTGCTCGTCTCAGCAGCAGGGCTGGCACTCTTCATGGAAGGACGCAGGTCCCTGCTCCACAGTGTGGGGCTGGGTAGACATGGTGCCCAGGGCCGGCCCCTGGCCTGGGCTCACTGCCCTCCATGGGCCCAGCCTACCTCTTCCCAGCAGCGGTCAGTCAGACGGGGGTGCGTCCCCTGAGAGCACCGGCGGCAGCACCCTGCCCGTCTGGCTGCCTGTCTGTGGGAGGAGTGAGGGGGGCGTGCGGCTGAGGGCTGGGCAAGATGATGACCCTTCCCGGGACCAAGGAAGGCTCAAAGTGCTGACAGTGCTGGTCCGAGTCACTCCCCTTCTCCTGCGGGGACCAAGAGCCCAGGCTTAAGAAGAGGCAGCAGGGCTGTGACACGGAGAAAGGGGATGGGCTTTTCTGGTAAGAGGCGGGGGGCAGGGAGTAAAGAGGAGAGGGAGAGGCAGCAGGTAGTCAGCAGGTAGTCGTCAGGACTGAGCCTGCCAGGCCCCACGGGCGGTTTGGCACGTTGCACTTGAGCTGTCAGCAGCAGGCGCCCAGTGGGGGCGAAACAAAGGCCCCTGGACCGGCTGCGGGCTCTGCACTCCGCCCCCCCGCCCCTGCTGAGGCCCGCCCACTGGGCCCCCTGCCGGCCTGCAGGCATGTCTGCTCAGGGTGAGAATGCTTGGACTTCCCGGGTGACTTGTGTAGGGCCAAGAATAAAAAAATATTTTCTGTTGTAATATGTAGGGAAAAAACTCACCTTAAAAAACTAGACCTTTTAATCAGGAATGTGGGATTGAAAATGCGCCCCGAGTCTTGTTTCCACAGTGTTTGAGCAGCCCTAACGCAGGGGCTGGGTCAGTGAGGTGAGCTGGGGCTTGATTAGTGCAAAGCCTCCCTCCCCCTGTTCCCCCTGGGACAGATGGGTGTGGGGGGCACTGGGGGACATCATCAAGGACTTCCTGGGCCTCCTCTTGTAGGCTCGTGCTCTGGTCACATCTGACTAGACAAGGCAGACCGCTGCGATACCTTGAGAGAGTAGCCTGGGCTGAGGACAACCCAGCCGGGATGGCTGAGCTGAACCTTGGCCCGCAGCCTCCGAGTGGGGACAGGAGATCGAGTTAGGTGACAGGGTTCTGTTCTTGGTACTTGCGCCGGCGGGCACAGCGCGGGCAGCCCTTTTTCACCACGGCCTGGCAGCTCTGGTGGAAGACGGTCTTGCATTCGTCACACCTGGGAGAGAGCAGCAAGTGCTGCTGGTGACTGTGGAGGCCGCCCCTGGGCCCGAGGCTGGCCAGTGTTCCTGACAGGAGCCCACAGCAACGCTGTGTCCTACCTGCACCTGAGGCACGCGGGCACTACCTCTCCATCCCGG